GTTTTTATCATTGGATGAATTGGTACTTAGTAACTATTAAGATGAAGACTGCAGATGGTAACTATATCTGATGGAAAGCATCTGGCATGGCAATGTATTCAGTAGTTACCTGGAGTCTTATCATGCACTGTTCATAGCCCAGCTTCTGAGAATGAAGCATAATATTGTGGTTTTGTATAAATTTAAGACCCCTATTTGGACTTATCAAAATGGTGAGTTAATGTATCTAAGGACACGGAATTAAATTATTGATGCAAGTCTAATAATTTTAAACTCAGTGTTTTAGAGGTTTGTCTAACAGAAAGGAGAAATAGTCTTACATGCAAAATTATTCCTCTTCACATAGCATCTCTTGGTGGCTTTTGGGAAAACTGATGAATGAAAAGGAAAGGAACATAAACGTAGATTCTTAATGTATAAGAGTGGCCAGTATGGAAGTGCTGTTGATCTGATATAAAACCTTTCTTAAGATGTAGGGTCTAGGAATGCAGTGCTATTAATTGAAGGGTGGTTAATGGCAATATTGATGCCAGCAACCTGCAATTAGCAGCCCTTTCCTAACTTCTCCAAGCTATATTTTCTTACTGAATTATTACTGCATACTTTAAACTGGGTGCAGATGCCATTCTGACGGGCCTTTTCTCATCTCGTGTTATCTAGGATGAAATTCAAAGGCTGATACTGAACTTGCTATATTGGTGTTATTGTTCTTAAACCTCTACTTAAATTGAGCATACTGTCTTGAGTGATGTGGGCGTGACTCAATGCCCTGTATTCTCTTTACAGGTGATACTTTATGATTTTTTGTGATATTCAATTAGTTAGATGTTAGATAAATGGGAATATCAAATCCTTTTCTTTGTTTCAGTTCTTTCTCTCACATTACCTGCCTGTTCCCTGTGTTTTCTAACATATTTTAACAAGTGACCAAGTTTTTTCAGTACCATACTTCAGAGTCTTTATGGTATCCTGTGTTTTTAGGGCTTCTAAAAAGACAAATTATTTTTAGATGTTTTAAGGTTGCATAATAATCTTCTGATTTTATTTCATGTTGTCCTGGGTTGAATGGAGTGTCTATGCAGTGGTTCTATGTTTGTACAGGTGTTCTAGAGGTGAAATGGAGCAGGCAGGACTACATTTTCACAACCATTAAATGGTTTTGAGTGTCTTTTCCCGTTCTGAATTCTTCTTCCTTAAGGTTAACTGTGTTTAAGCATTCTAGAACTTAGGTAATCTAAATCAATATTTATTGTTGAAAATAGGAGACAAAGCACTGAACTTTCTGGTCCAGGTCTTTGTTAAACAATTGGTAGAATAGTGAGTCCTGATGCCTGTACACCACTTCTCATCATGTCTTCCATTTTGTCATTAGGTTCAGGAAACATATGTTTCACAAAATATGCTGCTTCTCACTTAATCTACCTGAATGTTCCTGTCCTCAAGTAATTAAAATAATGAACAGAGTAAGCAGAGTGGATAAATATACCTTACTTGTAATACTGAACTTGTAAATAATTAAACAATTATTGTCACTGTCAGGTTATTATTCTAAGCACCTTTTTCAGGTTTTGGTACTGGTTACTTAATGCTATGAGGTGAAGAAATAGCAGTGGAACAGACTATACACTTGATAACAGGTCTGATTTGTACTCAGTGTAAATAAAAGAAGTCTTTAAACCTCCTCAGTTCTGCATAATGACGTAATGACTTAGGACAAACTTTTCTTAATACTCAGCTGCCAAATAAGTAAGATAAGAAGCTAGCCATGTAGATGGAAAAATATAAATTATCCAAGCTGAACACAAATACTACATAGCAGCAACTAATTTGCATAATAATTATAGCTGCAATAGTGGCAAGAACTAGGCTGATCGTGAGAGTCTGCTCCAAATGATACTTGACAGGGGATAATTGTTTTACTTACATTCTAATTAAGAAATAATATGGGTGGGAGATTTTAGTAGAGGTGGAGTAAGTGGCATGAATATAGAAATACAGCCAATCAAACGTATTACAGACTTTAATACCTTTAGAGAATCAAATAGTGAATAGGTCTGTCAATGACTTACTGTTTTATTCTACTGGCAACCAGAAGTCAATATAGCAAAGAGAACTTAGGCTATGAAAACCTTTTCAAAATGTAAAAACTACCTTTCTCCTTCAATTAAGTAAATTGCCTACTATTTTATTGAGTGTTATGAGATTTTTAATTATTTTTATAATTTTATGAGTAAAAGCATCTATTGACAAAAAGGTTGGGAGTAAGGAAGGAACACATACACAATAACAGAATTTTGTAACCTTAATTATTTCTAAGTTCTCTAACATAAAATGTACTTTTTAGTTCAGCTCTTTTTGTTCACTGATCTGTATTTCTGTGACTTTCTGTGTCAAAACCTGTAGTTATGAAGGTTTTTAGCAAGGTATGAATCCCTGTGATGTTAAACAGAGGATACTAGGTGGAAAAATCAAGAAAGACAGTGGTTTCATCCTCACTCTGCCAATGACTTCTCTAGTGACTGAGTTAGGCACTTAATTACCACCTCAGTTTCTTATCTGAGAGGAGGAGATAATTAAAACTCCTTTACTATGAAAATCACATTAATTCATTCAGTATAAACTTGTGCAGAGTATGAAAGCTTGCTGTGCAATGCAGAGGAGGACCATGCAGCAAAATCTGGTGTGTGAAGTCTACATTCCGAAAGACAAGCTCTAGCAGTTACAAAAGGCAGAGAGACCGGTGGGAAGAGAGAAATAAATGGAATGTGTAGTTTTTTAACCAGTCAGTAGCTGTCACAACACTGGGGGGCTCCCTGTGGGTCAGGGTTCTGCCCCAGCTCCCTGGCTGGGGTGGTGGGACAAGAGCCCTGGCTGCCAGGAGCCTTCTGGGTGCCAGCCTGGGATCTTAGCCTGTGGATCAGGCTAGGCAAGGCGAACTGGCTGTGGGTTGGCCAGGCTGTGGGATCTGGCTCACTAGGGCTGGATAGGACAGGGCTGTGGGAGCAGGTGGCCCTGGACAGGGCTGAAATGGTATCCTGAGCCACAGAGGGGTCAGGGAGACTCTGGGGGAGAGTGACCAGAACCTTGGAGATGTGTCTAACTTCAATGTTTTATTTTGTTACAATGTCTATATTGAGCCTAGTTTTCTCTTTCTTGAATTATAATCAAAACCCTGATGGTGGTCAAGGCATTTCTTTGGGACTGATCTATACAGCTTGGTGATGTTATGGGTCACAAATTGCCTCCAGCCAGGTGTTACTCTGCTGGAAATGCCTCATGCTGTGCTGTACATCACTGTCCTCTGCAATGAGCTCATTTCTGTAGGTTGTGCTCTGTGCGTGTGCAGTGCAGGATATGTCATTCAATGCTGAGTGCAAAACATCTGATTCACTGTGTCCAAATTTGTCAGTGAATGAGGTCCAGTTATGCAAATACAGAGTACTTTTTATCTTCTGTCTGGTTATTTGCTTAGGAAGTGTACTGAATTACTGTTGTAACTCTGAATAATATGTTATTATCAATACAGCCACATCATGCACTGTGCTGTAATTGCTAGTAAGAACACAGAGCCTGCTTTTTGGGAGGGAAACTGTCAGAGAAGAAAGAACCTGATTAGCTAATTAAGTTGTGATGCTGCAATTCTCTAAAAACAACTGTTGGTCTCCATATTACATTTTTAGCATTGCTCTGCTGTTCTTTGCTGACAGATTCAATGCAACTGCTTTATTAGTTCAGTACTGTCAGGAAGTGCCCTGTACCCTTATGTCCAGCTGTGTCCTCAAGGCCATCTCACAGCTATGTGTTTTGATCATCACAGTGTAGTATTCCTACTGTAGTAATAATAATCACATAACCAGCGTCAAGCATCTTTGCTTGTATAATAGATATCCCAAAGGGCATTAATGGCAGTTGATTTCCTGCTTAGTGGCCTAGAGACAAGTCATCTATAAACAAGATCTTTCAAGCTGTTGGTCTGTGCAGAGTGCTTGAAGCAGTAGTGTAGATCTGTGTGTGAAGTTCAAGTGCTTGGTACTTCCTTCAGCACTGAATCGTGCTGCCTCCCCTCTGCTTGTTTAGCATAACTTGTCAAGTCTTCAGGAAGTCATTAGTATTATGCTGTCACCAAAGGCACGCTTGTGGCACAGTCTGATACTTTGCGTGTGGTCTGTTTTAAATGCTATACAATCCAGACTGGCTTTTCCTGTCATTTCCCTTGATTTTTGTGCAGCACCAGTGACTGTAGCATGTAGCAGGCAGTTACAGAGCATGGCACCCTTTCTGCAACATCCATGAGAGACTGATATGAATTCCAGTGCGTGTGACTCATCAGTAAGCTTGGTGCAGCTGAGGCTCCTCTTTAATTTCTAGCTCTCCGTTCTGTGAGAGCCACTTACTGACAGAATAATTCCTGTGATACATTAAACACTTTCATTGAAAAACTGATTCACTGATAGCATGGCAGCTCCCTGCAGATTCTCTATGGTGTATTTTGTTCCCCTACACTTGATAATTACTGTCTTGTTACATCATGGTTATTAGTGAAGGTTTACTCAGATTATTGATTCTAGTGATATTAAATTAAAGTTGTGCATAAATTATGTTCACACTCAGTATGCATTGTTTTGAACTAGTAAATCAAAGGTCTTTCAGTGTATATGTGACAAATTCATTTATAGGTAGCTCTATAATTGCATACAGAGCTCTTGTCACTTATGCTGCTTGTAAGGAAGGAACATATAGCATATTTGATGCCAAGTATATGTTTTTAAGATGTAATGTCAAGGAGAATATTATTATCTAGTGTTAGTCTGGTGCCTTATAGAACACTTCTATTTCTATGATTTCCAAAGAGATACATCCAAGTAGGTTCTTAATTTCATCTATCAGGAATCCAGGGAGACCTATTTTCTGTTTTTCGTAGCATTTCTTAGCCATAACTTTGCTCCGGCTTTCCTTGTCAAATCGCTAAACATTAACTAATCCAAATACTTACTTTGCAGGAGGCCCAGAAGATCAATGGTGGTGGAGACACACAGGCAGATGGAGCCTGCAAACCAACAGATGAAAAAGAGGAGAATGTGGCAGCAGAAGTGGGATGGATGACGTCTGTGAAGGATTGGGCAGGAGTCATGATATCTGCCCAGACATTAACTGGCAGAGTACTTGTAAGTTTTCTATGATTTTCTATGTTTTCATTTTAAAGAACATTTTTTTAAGAAGCACTGTGTCTGAGCATTAGTGGAGGATTTTTGATTGGTTTGTTTCATCAGCATTGAGTCAATCCCAATTTTCTCTTTTGGAAGTAAAAATAGCAGACTAATTCCCACTGTAAGAGAGAGGCGGAGACAGTAAATAAGAAAAACTGACTTCCAGACCACTCCCCAGTACTCTTCAGTACTTCAGTACTCTGGCACCATGATTTTGAACTGTGCTACAAACAGTGAGTTTAATAATTTCATATTAGGTGATAAAACTTTAGGCCTATTTTGTCTGGAATTAAAATTGTGCTGGGAAAAACAGAAGCCAATTTGGAAAATAAGCACAGTGTTACAAGTGTACATAGTGGTCAGAAGTATAAAGCAAAGACAAGTTTGAATTGGCTATGCAATGAGATTTGTGATATTTTCAATAGACTAGTAGTATGTTCTCTTGATTTTTTTCTTTATTAGCTTAGGAAATCCTTCAAACATGTGAACAGTTATGTATCAAATAGAGCCACATATTGATAATATGTGGTTTAAAGATCCATTGAAAAAAAAATCTGTAGTTTTCTGCTTTATTTGAATATAATTACATTAGAGCCTTGTTAAATACTAAATTGCCAAGGGTTTTCTGTGGAGTTCAGTAGGTATCTCCTGTGTCATTTCAATTAGTTTCCTTGTTAGAATGCATGTACTTATAAACTAACAGCTAAAGTGATTTAAATCCCATTTAAAACTTCTGAGAATCCCAGGAGACTTTGTAACTAGTTTGGGTTAAACTGAAAAAGGATTTGTGTCTTCGTTTATTTTGGTTAAGGGATTTTTTTAGGTGAGTCAGTTTGGGTCTATAGAGTAATTATTTGGATGGGGGAGGGAAGGGAGGAAAAGAAAAGAAATTGCACTCCTCAGTCAAGTCTTCTACAGTAAAAAGTTGAGGTGACTCAATTGCCACTGTATTGTTTGTTTCTGCAAGAATATTATTTTGATTATTTTTCCTAAAAATATCTTCTTCCCATTTGCTTATGTTAATTGCTGACTTTTATCTATAGCTTGAAAGCGTGTTCACTGCAGCTTTGAGCGCTATATATCTTCTATGTGAAACTGGCATATTGACATATTGTCTTATGAAAAGTGGCATTTTGCATGTTTTCCTGAACTCTTCAGCATTAAAAAAGAAAAATGTTAGTTGTGCTTCTTGTTCTAATTCAAGTATCAAGGGTATCACCCAAAACCAGAATCCTCTGCTCCTAGCTATGCAGTGAGAAATTGGCCTGTATTGTTCTTACTGAGCTATATGTGAGCACAAATATAAACCAGCAATCAAGACAAAAACCTAATATAAATGATATAAAATACATTATACTGTTTTTTTTTTTCAACATACTGGAAGAACTTAGTCAATTCTATTTGATGGCTTAGTTTACCATTGCATTTTCTAACAGACTAGCTGACCAATATTGCTGGATTAGGTTCTTTCTGAGAGTATATCTATAGTCAGGTGTAAGCAACAGGTTTTGTGCACACCTGGGTTTATGAATATGACTAACTGTCTGAGAAATATGTAGCAATGTATGGAATATGTTAGTTCATTTTTTTTAGTTTAGAAAACAAGATGCATTTATTTTTTATATAACACTCATTAGTTTCATTATTTGAATTGACAAGATTCATGGAGGACCATTTCCAATATGAACATTGGCTGTTCATTTAAATTTTACTTTCTGGATATATTTGCTAAAGGCTAACTGCTTCAATGAACATTTGTGCTAGAGGTAATATTCACATTATTTGTACATATAGGATGTAGCAAAATTATTTGAAAATATTAGGACTTAACTCATTAATTCCTACTAATTTAATACAGCCTCTTCCTGATAGCTATATTTCTGAATCAAAATGTGGAATTTTTTTTCCTCTGAAGAAGAACTGGTGATTTCACAGTTCTATGAAATCAAAATCATATGAGATATCTGCAGCTAAAAAAATTATGGTACACTTTTTCATTGTGCGAGTTTAAATTAAAATCAGTCTTATACATTCAATGTTTACAAAAAAAAAAGAAGCTTAAAAAGCAGCCCACTGAAAATGGAATTGGGAAGAGTTATAATTGATCTTCAGTTCAGCATGATCACCTGAAGGCAGTTGTGTAACTGCTGCCTGGTTTTATTTGAGAAATGAAGGAGACAAGTTAGGCCAATCTTGAACACACATCATTGTGAAGTAGAAGCTTATTTGTGTTTTCGGCTCATGGAAAAAACTTCAATCATTATTCTTACCTGGACAGCCATTTTCTTCACAGTGAATCTTAGTGGAATGTCGAGTGCTGTTTGTGGAATCTAAGCACACTACTTTTTGGACCTCTCTCTACTAAAATCTGTCACTGTATCTTTGACACTTTAATTTCTTTCCTAGTAACCTTACAAAACAACTTTCTAATTTATCAGATCGGTTTGCACAAGTGCTTTGGGAATGTTGAAACAAATATTTGTATGGTGAGTGCTCCTATAGTTACCTCTTTAATACTTAAACTTTTTGGCTACCTACTAGTGAAGAAAATAAAGGCCAACACTATGGAAAATACAGGACAAAAATTTGTGTTTACAGGTCGTAGTGTCATAGTGTAGTACAAAATTGGACATTTACATCAACATTTGCACATTTTTTTAGTGAAATCTAATGTTTCTGTTAAGATAATAGATGAAAATCAGTACACGACCTTTAAAATATAGACTGGAAGGCTTTTGTAGCTGTAGAACTAATTGAAACATAACTTTTGTTTGTTTGTTGTTGTAAATTATTTTTTTCTGACATAATTTATGAACTCGTGTTTCAGTGCATCTGCTGGAAAGTAAGGGATGTTACTTTTTATTCATTATCTGGGTCATTGGAGACAGTGAAATGATTTAACCCATTCTCGACAAACACTCTGGAATCTTTGATAGAGATGATTCCCCTCCACACTAGTTTTCTTAAAAACATTTAATTCATTGGTGGTTGTGAGGGAGGGAAGAGTTCTATAACTGAAATCAAAGTTGAAAAAACCCAACCATATTCCTAATCTCCTCCTCTCCCATTCCATTGATTAGAGGAAGAATTACATTTAAAGACTAAACAAAGATACGAGAAATTTAAACTTGCTCACACCTTGAAATATTTTGCTTTTGATTTCAATTAAGTTTTCTCTTTCAAATAAAGTGTCTGAAACTCTATGTAAAACTTCTTTGTAAGGGATGTCTGGTCCTGTCAGCAGTGTTTGCTGTGAGTTGTGGAAAAAACACCCCAGGGTTGTAATTTAATTTTTGGTGGTATTTTTAGTTGCACATGATAGAGCTAACTAGGTGAAACCAAAGGTACAGGTATTGTGCAAATTAATCTTGATATGCAGAAGAACTTTTGCACATTCTCTGTGGAAGTGATTCAGAACACTGACAGAATGAACTGTCTCCCTGGCACAAAAGTTTCTCATACTGGTGCTCTTATGTAAAACTGGATATTGTTTGCATCTACTCTTTCTTAGTTTTTCGGAGCACAGAAGAATTGGTGCTATCAGTTTTGTGTGTTGCTTCACAAAAGTGGTCAATTATGTCTGGTTCTTCAGTATGAAATGCTTGTATAATTTCTTAGTATGCCACTCCCTCACAATGTGACTATTGGAGAGCAGGTTTACTGGAAAGAATAGTTTCTCAAACGTATCTTGTTAATATCTCCACATGTGTCCTTTGCTCATGGTTCTTCAGAGCGTTTTTTGTTTTAATTCCAACAGACAACCATTAGGAAACAGATTCCTGTACTTTGAGTCTCTAGGAGTAGTTTTCATTTTGTTGAAAAGAGTTTTCTTTTCTTTGTTGTTGTGGTGAGCATCATAAGAAATGATAATGGGAAATTTTAAATAATTAAACCATCAAATTTTCAAAACATTTGACCATTACTTACTTTATCACTTTGTCAACTGAGTGTCTCCTAGTCTATAATTCTGTTAATGACAGCAAGAATAGGCAGAATAGACATAAAAGTGGCAGGTGCATGGGATTTTACTAATATTGCAGTTGATTCAGTAGTTTATGTAAATATTCTAAAGATAGAAGTACTGAAATGGAAATAAACATTCTTACTGCTTTAGGAGTAAATGTCTACTCCTGACGTTTCAGAAGTGATTTAGGCACAGAGGAATATTCACACTACCCAATTTCATCTGAAGGGCAGGCTTTGGAGGAAGAGATTTATAGAGGGTGATCCAGAATGCCCTTCAATAAGAAACTTTTTTTGTTTTTTGAAGTAGTATAGCTGGCTAGGCACAGTCCCTACAGTTGTGTGGTCAGAATATCCTTTTCTCCTCATACTTTAGGTTTTAAAAGCACAACTGGAATGTAGTGTTCTTGGTGATGCAACCATTGAAAATGTGACTTTTGCTCTTAAACAACGTAGATGAGAATTCGATGTATGGTTTAAAAATGTGTCCATATTAAACTGCATAAGTACATGATTTAATTGAACCCATGCAGTTTTGTTTGCAGTTGATGTTGAGTGGCATAAATATAAATAATAGTAGAAGGTAGCAGTTTACTTAAGATCTGTTCAGGGAAATATGATTTACTTTGAAGTGCCGTATAATGCTGTAGATGATGGAAGTATTGGATAAAAATTCCTGAGATGGGTTTCTAAAGAAGAATCAGAAACATTCATCATTAATCTGAAGATGCAGGAAATTAAAGGCATTTATGAGCTGATTTAGCTTCCTGAAATGATATTTTTTTTAATCATTTGAGTAAGAAGAAAAAGATTTCCTTAATTAGGTTGAGTGTTTGATAGACAAAATAAAGTCATATGTATATTGTTGAAGTTGACACAGTTCAATCTAGGACCCAGTTGAATGTGGACTCTCCTTTAAACTGATAAAGAAAAATTGTTATTTCAATTGCAAATCCAGGAGATAAAATCATGAAGAAAATGATTGTTTGTTCTAT